CAATGCAGGGGCATCAGAGGTCTGAAGGATAAGAACATAGTGAAGTAGTGGTCATCATTCAGATTGTCTTAGAAAACGTCATCAGGTTTCTGAGGTGGTTCCTAAGAGATTGGTGTTGCAGATGTGCAGGTAGCCCGCATTCAACCTCAATACTCGATGACCAGTTGGCTGTAGGCACTGGTGATTTGTTAGCGGCTTACCTGTGTCTTATGGGACATACGGTGCAGGGGAGTTTCGCATTGTTTCCTCATCTTCACAAACACAGCAAACGCCAACTCATTTCGCCGTTAGTAGGTTTCACCTAGCGTCTGCGTTCACTAGTCATAGGTCACCGTCACTGGAGCCTATTCGCACAGAAGGAAATTCATTGTTGGACAAAGTTCTGCGTGAGGGTCACTTTACAGGAGATATGAAACATGTTGTGAAAGAAAATACCTCGATGAAGATGCTATCCACAGTCACGTCTGCAAAAGATGTCCACCTGAATTTCCCACTAGTTACGGAAAGTCAGCTGGATGACCTGGAAGCATTTTTCAAGGATGAAATCTTCCGTCAAATATTCCTGAGTTACAGTTACCTAGCTCAAACACTGCGGGCAGCTATGGCGATGGCCAGTGTGCAATACAAGCCGAAGTTCTCCTTGAAAGTTATAATGAAAGCGGTGTTGGAACTAGGAAACCTTGGGGAAGTACATATTCGATAAAAATTATGAAGTGAGTGACTCGCCCCTAATGCTATAAGCCCCATAGCTGTTATCAATTCAACCTTTGCATGAACTTCACTTTATCAAAGGTTGGCGTAGGAAATAATGGATATGTTGACTAATCAATACTTCTAAAATGTTCTGGATAGAGTAGTTGAACGTTTAGAGCCTAAAGCCTTCGTAAGTTCAGTGTTTCATGATATGCATTCCTTGTTCACGTACGTGTGACTGACACATACCCACACCCTTTCAATTTTTCACTACAACAGTCTTTGAAGGTATCGAATGGTCGAACTGAGAATGCGGATTTGTATGCACAGGGGTTTACAAATGCCGCGGGTGGGAAGTTTTCTTTTAGCCCGTAGGTAGATAGGTACGTTTTAATAGGGGGAGGGGGGGCGTTTAGAGCCGTGTGCATTTGGTGGGGGCCACGGGATTCTGGAATCAGGAAGTAACGGCTAGGGGACCAGAATCTCTCTTTGCGTGACACTTGAGAGTGATTTTCTTAAGGTTCAGGGTATTCTGCTTACCTTAGCGCAGAACTCTGCATTGTCCGTCCAGCATACTAATTGTCAAAAATACCTTACCGGAGCAATTTTCGATCGGATAATATCATGTGAAATGGCGTAAGAGGTACTAGTCAGGTCCGGAAAAATTGAACAGACGGAGACCTTTATGCTACGGAATGTCGCGCAGCAGATGCAATCTATCAGTGGGTTACTGATGCAAGATCTATCCGTTCTGAAAGTGCTTTGTTTCTTATGGTGTGCCGGGTCTGTCACCATGTTGCCCGATTTTACCATCCATCTGGCTTTCGAACATCCTCTATGCCTTTGCCAGTAGCTTTACGGGACACTAACGATTGGGCGTTTCGGTCGACGTTCTCGAAAATAGCATGACGGGGAGCACATTTTCACCATTATGAAAGCCAATATTCGACACAAAATCGGTAAAAAGGTGCAAAACGAAAAAGAAGAGATTCCCCACACTTTCTTAATGGTCAGTTGCATGTCATCACATCCCAACAATTCTTTGCGGCGAAGCCTTTATCGCTTTTTGACGACAACATCTAAAGTTATCTACAATGTATCCATCACTAACGTGCTAGAAGGCGTGTGAGGCAGCTAGACTTTTCATGTGTGATTTCCTCGTGTGTTATTAGGTTTCTATTAAAGGCGGCAGCAAAGGCGTTTAGGCCTTCTGTAACTCTCAAAGATGTTCCCCACTCCAGACTTTAATGTCGCATGTTTCCAGAATGGTAGGCTTTTCCTCATCAATAATTGTTATGGGTTCTTCAAGTTCGCCCCAAGATTCTGCACAAGGATAGTCTGAAACTACTATTTTTCATCCCCAAATTTTGATGTTTCTTCGACTCTAGGCGCTTGGGGTTATCAAGACTAAAGTAGTGTTTCCTGAATTTACTGTTATGTTGATGTCCATTATAAGATCACGGTGGTCGTCAGTCGACGGAAGGATCCCCCTTTGAGATTGCTATCTAAGTTAAATGTTGCATGGTCTGTCTAAGTGCAGTAGGTGCAAAGGCAAAAGCTAACACCATCTGTTAAAATACCTGTGAAGAAGTTTGGAGCCATAGATATCCTCATGCAACAGGTTTGAGAGGCATATAAAGACGACATATATGAGTGATGCGTCATAAAAGTGTCATATAATCGCGACACAATAAGATCAAACTTTGTGCACTTCAGGCGATATCAGAAGTCATGTTTAAAGACAAAACATGATGGTACTTAACGGAAGTTCAATTTATAAGCGGCTAATTTATAATACACATGTATCGATTACACTCAGCAACACGTAATACCCGGTTCACGCATAAAAAGGTACAGAAAAAGGGAGAGAGCCGACAGTTAACAGTTCGGCATCTCAAAATCATGATCAAAGAAATTTAAAAAGCAAGAGATGGTTGAAGATTTTATGACAAATGAATAAGGATCCATGATCGAATGAAAAAAGAGCACCAAGGTGATAAGACGCCAAACGGAAGACGAGCCAGAAAAAGTAGTACGAGTGAAGCGTGAATATTATAGAAAAACGCCAAGAAAAAAAGGGCAAAGGATAAGAAGAAACTCAAGACCCAGTGCAAGAGACAAAAAATGTATGAAAAAAGAAATGAAGAAAAATAACATAAGCAGAAAAAACATACCGAGAAAAAACTTCCAGAAAAAATAACAAAAGAAAAAAATGCACAGAAACAAACTGCAAGCATTAAAACGTTTAAAAGATTGGCGTCCTTAACATCGATGGGTCTCTGCTTTTGATGGTAGTTAGATTGTCCAGAGTGATCATGGATGGCATCTATGGGTAGCAGACCACTGACTTCCTCACTGAGAACCTGTATGAATGTTGAAGAGAGTAATAGCGGGTGAAAGGTTGAGCAGGGTCTAGCGATTGAAGGCTCAGCAGGCTTAGGAGCCAAGTTCATGGGGCTTCGATTGGTTGACGTGACCCACTCCTGTGGGGAAGACCTCGCGGTTCCACTACTTAGTGAATGCAGCCGTGAATTATGATAGCGAAGAAGCTTTCCAGTAGTTACCAGGTGATAGCTTTGTCGCACTAGTACCATCTGCAGCGCGACTGCTTGGGTGAGCACACTTATTTGTCGCTGTGAGATCATGCTGAAGGAGAGGTTGAAGACAGGTCTGTCGACAGTCTGGTTGCTTCCCGTTCGTGTAGTCTTTGTGCAGCGATCTCTCACTTGAGTTGTTAGCAACCGGTCTCGATGTCCTTTTGCGCCTAGCTCGAGGGTATTCTAGCCTGAGTCATTTCGAAGTAGAGTTGTGAGTGTCTCCATGTCGCCCGTAGACTCCAGAGGCAGTATTTGGACAGATTTGCGGTCGATAGAGATGAGGCAGGCTAGTGTAGGGACCAGTGGTCCTGTCACTGCGAAGTTGCTGCATCTGCAATTACCACTTGCCGGATTAAGACCGGGAACGGTCGTGGTGTCACAGTCCTTGCAACCGGTGTCGCCCAGTTCAGTAATGTTGTTGTTCACAACTCCAGCTTTTGACTATGATTGGCTGGGTAGTGACTATCTGGTGGTATGGTAACCGCTGGCTCTACCAACTCCATTGTCCTACGATCGAGCACTTTTCCCAAGAGATCCACGTGGGACGGGTTATGTCTGGTGTGTGGAACAAGCAGGATGGTTTACTGCGTATGTTGGGGACTGGGAGTTGCTGTCGTGGTTTCAATTAAGGTCAACCTATATTTGCGGTGGGATGCTTGGTGGCAATTATTTTCTTGCACTAAACGATGTGTTGGTACCCGTGATCACTGGGCTACTGGATTTCTACACGACAATTTCATGAATGTGTGTATACCGTATTACGTAGTCCATCTGAACTCATCCCGTATAAAACGTTTGAGTCCAGGCGGGTGTGGAAAGTGTTATGTGCAGCCGTATCCTAGAGCGGTGGCTGCGTTTGAAGGGGGTGGGGTTAGGCATCCTCGCGACGCGGGTTGCTGCATCTAATACGTCCGGATCAGGTGAGAGGCTAGACTCTGAGCACCAGAATGTCATGTATAAGAACTATAACGAGGAGGAATCAGCTGGTTCGTATCGGAATTTCATCAGGATATTCAAACGGGTCAGCGTCATACTTGACTAGTCTGAGCGCTGTATAACGCCAGGCGAGGCAACAGGGATACATGCTTCGCTGGGTCCACAAGAGGGATAGACGAAGAGGCACACACGGCGTCCACGACAACAACGCCATGCTCGAAAAGTCCTGTCCAGCATTCTCTCACAATCGGCGTTGAGTTTTAACGATTGCAATCTCTTTCGAACAGGATTGTCTTGGTCTCTTCCCCTTGTCCTGCAGTGGTTTGAGAGTAAGCAAAGCACTGGCACGTTGTATGTTAAATGACAATTTGCGTACTGAGTTGCATCGCTTAGTTCTTGCTTCCGGAACTGACCATCTGAGAGGGAACAGCCGGAAGGTGTGAAGAACGTGGTCGCAGTGTCTATACTCGAAAGTGGGTTTCTCACACCTAATCGTGATTAGGTCACACTGCTTACCGCGGTAAGTGACACCTGGATCTCCTGATGATAGATACTATCTAGGCGAGACTGGTAATCGCGAGGATTAGTGTAAATCACTTGTCTCGCTGTGCATATTCCTAAAGAGTGGAGGCAGTTGACACTTTGAATGCGTGTGGTGTTTTTAAGCAGTTTTATCAGATAATCTGTCATTTTCTCGCATGAAAATCCTATGTGAGCTTCGACCGAAGACCCTCAATGATATGGACTTGGCATCTGAACTTCCTTTTTGTTTAAATCAGCCCGAACCTACGTCTGGCGGGACTTGAGAGCTCACGTCAATATGTCTAGAACCACTTACAAGATCTATGTTGGTAACCTCCCCCCAGATACCAAAACCAGGGATATTGAGAATCTGTTCTCAAAATATGGACCGATCGCAGCTATCGACCTGAAAGCTGGACAGAGGCGCGGCCCACCGTTTGCGTTTGTTGAGTTCGAGGATGAGCTGTGAGTTTCAGTTGTTTGTTGTGACTTTTGTTAGTGATGCATCAGATGCTGTTCGTGGACGCGACGGCTATAACTTTGATGGGTATGCATTACGTGTAGAGCTGCCACGCACGGCGGGCTACAACAACGGGGGTGGCCAGAACTACAACCAATTCCGACGAGGAGGCTTCAACCGAGGAGGCGGGGGAAGTGGACCGTCTCGAAGGTCGGATTTCCGTGTAATTGTCACAGGGTTACCGCCTACTGGGAGCTGGCAAGACCTCAAAGATCACATGCGAGAAGCAGGTGATGTTGGCTATGCAGACGTATTCCGCGACGGCACTGGTGTGGTTGAGTTTCTGAGGTACGAGGATATGAAGTATGCAATTAAACGTCTCGATGACTCCAAGTTCCGTTCCCATGAGGTAGGTTTGTTGTTAAAGTGATTAGAGGATGTAGGGTGAGTCGTCGTATATCCGTGTTCGGGAAGAGAGGGCCGGTGGATCTCGTTCCAGGTCACGTTCATATGGTTCGCCACGCAGAGGTCGTTCCTATGATTCATGCTCCAGATCAATAAGCCCTCGACGCTGAAGTAGGACAAATGTGAGAGTTTGTACGTAATTCAAATTTAATGTTATAATCCTTTTAATCCACGACTGCACGGACTCAATACAATTCTCTTGCTTTCGAAGGTCTTCTGGATGGTGGACAAAGGAGAGGATAGTCCGTAAGGAAGGGACTGGAGATTGTTAGTTTTGGGACCAGAGGATGGACTCGGAACACTTCGAGGGATAGGACTACTGAGGTATAATGCCACACTCGTGGATTGGTGGATGCATCCTACCACACGGAAGGCTAACGGAGGACTTCATGATTCTGTTACTGTGGATGGAAAAGGACATAGGAGCTTGTTGTGGATTCTAAGTCTGAAATGGCACCGGAGGAGTGTGAGACGGACGGTAGGACGTAAATTTCCGAGGAAGCTTGGATACCGCTTAAGGATGCACTTTGGATGTCTTGGATTTGCTTGTGGATGTTTACAGTTGGATAACTACGCATAGGTTGCAGTTCAAGCTGCCAGGAATTCATTAATTCTGTAAGTTCCAGGAAAGTAAGCTCATACAAAATTGGAACTAAGGGTGCTGCCCGGAACCTAACGGTCTGGTGTACGGGAACAGTCTGCATCCACCAAATCTCTCGGCATCTCATCTGCAGTCTACTCCAAAAGGCATTGGCGGATTTACTCAAAGGCTATCATAGCTGCTCGAGTTAAGTGTTCTGTGGACGTAGGTAGATGTGCAAACCATGGAGTGGATAATCAATTGAAATACCAGTAAACATAGATTTCACATTTGAACTTGGACCTTTATTTGCTTTACTGCCAAATAAACTCAATGTCTTACGTTGGTATAACCTGTTGGTTTTCTAAAGTTTCTGTATTCAGTGGAAGTTACATTTCGCAAATCTAACATGGCTTTCGCAGGTCACACGTTCCCGAGCCGTTAAGATCTACAAGATGACGTCCCAACTGAACAGAGTCAATTTCCCTCCCAAAGTGAGGGTCAAACTCGAGGGAGTTACGTTTAAAGTGGAGCACGTTGTCAACCTCAGGTGTAGACCTAACGAATGGCCAACATGCAAGTAGGGGTGGTAGGTCGTCTTTTCTGGGGTTTCGCAGCGCCCATGGAACAATCTGGGTCGCTCGTGGTCGGGGCTATTGCTAAGTGTCAAAGTGCGGGGTCCTTAACATCGATGGGTCTCTGCTTTTGATGGTAGTTAGATTGTCCAGAGTGATCATGGATGGCATCTATGGGTAGCAGACCACTGACTTCCTCACTGAGAACCTGTATGAATGTTGAAGAGAGTAATAGCGGGTGAAAGGTTGAGCAGGGTCTAGCGATTGAAGGCTCAGCAGGCTTAGGAGCCAAGTTCATGGGGCTTCGATTGGTTGACGTGACCCACTCCTGTGGGGAAGACCTCGCGGTTCCACTACTTAGTGAATGCAGCCGTGAATTATGATAGCGAAGAAGCTTTCCAGTAGTTACCAGGTGATAGCTTTGTCGCACTAGTACCATCTGCAGCGCGACTGCTTGGGTGAGCACACTTATTTGTCGCTGTGAGATCATGCTGAAGGAGAGGTTGAAGACAGGTCTGTCGACAGTCTGGTTGCTTCCCGTTCGTGTAGTCTTTGTGCAGCGATCTCTCACTTGAGTTGTTAGCAACCGGTCTCGATGTCCTTTTGCGCCTAGCTCGAGGGTATTCTAGCCTGAGTCATTTCGAAGTAGAGTTGTGAGTGTCTCCATGTCGCCCGTAGACTCCAGAGGCAGTATTTGGACAGATTTGCGGTCGATAGAGATGAGGCAGGCTAGTGTAGGGACCAGTGGTCCTGTCACTGCGAAGTTGCTGCATCTGCAATTACCACTTGCCGGATTAAGACCGGGAACGGTCGTGGTGTCACAGTCCTTGCAACCGGTGTCGCCCAGTTCAGTAATGTTGTTGTTCACAACTCCAGCTTTTGACTATGATTGGCTGGGTAGTGACTATCTGGTGGTATGGTAACCGCTGGCTCTACCAACTCCATTGTCCTACGATCGAGCACTTTTCCCAAGAGATCCACGTGGGACGGGTTATGTCTGGTGTGTGGAACAAGCAGGATGGTTTACTGCGTATGTTGGGGACTGGGAGTTGCTGTCGTGGTTTCAATTAAGGTCAACCTATATTTGCGGTGGGATGCTTGGTGGCAATTATTTTCTTGCACTAAACGATGTGTTGGTACCCGTGATCACTGGGCTACTGGATTTCTACACGACAATTTCATGAATGTGTGTATACCGTATTACGTAGTCCATCTGAACTCATCCCGTATAAAACGTTTGAGTCCAGGCGGGTGTGGAAAGTGTTATGTGCAGCCGTATCCTAGAGCGGTGGCTGCGTTTGAAGGGGGTGGGGTTAGGCATCCTCGCGACGCGGGTTGCTGCATCTAATACGTCCGGATCAGGTGAGAGGCTAGACTCTGAGCACCAGAATGTCATGTATAAGAACTATAACGAGGAGGAATCAGCTGGTTCGTATCGGAATTTCATCAGGATATTCAAACGGGTCAGCGTCATACTTGACTAGTCTGAGCGCTGTATAACGCCAGGCGAGGCAACAGGGATACATGCTTCGCTGGGTCCACAAGAGGGATAGACGAAGAGGCACACACGGCGTCCACGACAACAACGCCATGCTCGAAAAGTCCTGTCCAGCATTCTCTCACAATCGGCGTTGAGTTTTAACGATTGCAATCTCTTTCGAACAGGATTGTCTTGGTCTCTTCCCCTTGTCCTGCAGTGGTTTGAGAGTAAGCAAAGCACTGGCACGTTGTATGTTAAATGACAATTTGCGTACTGAGTTGCATCGCTTAGTTCTTGCTTCCGGAACTGACCATCTGAGAGGGAACAGCCGGAAGGTGTGAAGAACGTGGTCGCAGTGTCTATACTCGAAAGTGGGTTTCTCACACCTAATCGTGATTAGGTCACACTGCTTACCGCGGTAAGTGACACCTGGATCTCCTGATGATAGATACTATCTAGGCGAGACTGGTAATCGCGAGGATTAGTGTAAATCACTTGTCTCGCTGTGCATATTCCTAAAGAGTGGAGGCAGTTGACACTTTGAATGCGTGTGGTGTTTTTAAGCAGTTTTATCAGATAATCTGTCATTTTCTCGCATGAAAATCCTATGTGAGCTTCGACCGAAGACCCTCAATGATATGGACTTGGCATCTGAACTTCCTTTTTGTTTAAATCAGCCCGAACCTACGTCTGGCGGGACTTGAGAGCTCACGTCAATATGTCTAGAACCACTTACAAGATCTATGTTGGTAACCTCCCCCCAGATACCAAAACCAGGGATATTGAGAATCTGTTCTCAAAATATGGACCGATCGCAGCTATCGACCTGAAAGCTGGACAGAGGCGCGGCCCACCGTTTGCGTTTGTTGAGTTCGAGGATGAGCTGTGAGTTTCAGTTGTTTGTTGTGACTTTTGTTAGTGATGCATCAGATGCTGTTCGTGGACGCGACGGCTATAACTTTGATGGGTATGCATTACGTGTAGAGCTGCCACGCACGGCGGGCTACAACAACGGGGGTGGCCAGAACTACAACCAATTCCGACGAGGAGGCTTCAACCGAGGAGGCGGGGGAAGTGGACCGTCTCGAAGGTCGGATTTCCGTGTAATTGTCACAGGGTTACCGCCTACTGGGAGCTGGCAAGACCTCAAAGATCACATGCGAGAAGCAGGTGATGTTGGCTATGCAGACGTATTCCGCGACGGCACTGGTGTGGTTGAGTTTCTGAGGTACGAGGATATGAAGTATGCAATTAAACGTCTCGATGACTCCAAGTTCCGTTCCCATGAGGTAGGTTTGTTGTTAAAGTGATTAGAGGATGTAGGGTGAGTCGTCGTATATCCGTGTTCGGGAAGAGAGGGCCGGTGGATCTCGTTCCAGGTCACGTTCATATGGTTCGCCACGCAGAGGTCGTTCCTATGATTCATGCTCCAGATCAATAAGCCCTCGACGCTGAAGTAGGACAAATGTGAGAGTTTGTACGTAATTCAAATTTAATGTTATAATCCTTTTAATCCACGACTGCACGGACTCAATACAATTCTCTTGCTTTCGAAGGTCTTCTGGATGGTGGACAAAGGAGAGGATAGTCCGTAAGGAAGGGACTGGAGATTGTTAGTTTTGGGACCAGAGGATGGACTCGGAACACTTCGAGGGATAGGACTACTGAGGTATAATGCCACACTCGTGGATTGGTGGATGCATCCTACCACACGGAAGGCTAACGGAGGACTTCATGATTCTGTTACTGTGGATGGAAAAGGACATAGGAGCTTGTTGTGGATTCTAAGTCTGAAATGGCACCGGAGGAGTGTGAGACGGACGGTAGGACGTAAATTTCCGAGGAAGCTTGGATACCGCTTAAGGATGCACTTTGGATGTCTTGGATTTGCTTGTGGATGTTTACAGTTGGATAACTACGCATAGGTTGCAGTTCAAGCTGCCAGGAATTCATTAATTCTGTAAGTTCCAGGAAAGTAAGCTCATACAAAATTGGAACTAAGGGTGCTGCCCGGAACCTAACGGTCTGGTGTACGGGAACAGTCTGCATCCACCAAATCTCTCGGCATCTCATCTGCAGTCTACTCCAAAAGGCATTGGCGGATTTACTCAAAGGCTATCATAGCTGCTCGAGTTAAGTGTTCTGTGGACGTAGGTAGATGTGCAAACCATGGAGTGGATAATCAATTGAAATACCAGTAAACATAGATTTCACATTTGAACTTGGACCTTTATTTGCTTTACTGCCAAATAAACTCAATGTCTTACGTTGGTATAACCTGTTGGTTTTCTAAAGTTTCTGTATTCAGTGGAAGTTACATTTCGCAAATCTAACATGGCTTTCGCAGGTCACACGTTCCCGAGCCGTTAAGATCTACAAGATGACGTCCCAACTGAACAGAGTCAATTTCCCTCCCAAAGTGAGGGTCAAACTCGAGGGAGTTACGTTTAAAGTGGAGCACGTTGTCAACCTCAGGTGTAGACCTAACGAATGGCCAACATGCAAGTAGGGGTGGTAGGTCGTCTTTTCTGGGGTTTCGCAGCGCCCATGGAACAATCTGGGTCGCTCGTGGTCGGGGCTATTGCTAAGTGTCAAAGTGCGGGGTCCTTAACATCGATGGGTCTCTGCTTTTGATGGTAGTTAGATTGCCCAGAGTGATCATGGATGGCATCTATGGGTAGCAGACCACTGACTTCCTCACTGAGAACCTGTATGAATGTTGAAGAGAGTAATAGCGGGTGAAAGGTTGAGCAGGGTCTAGCGATTGAAGGCTCAGCAGGCTTAGGAGCCAAGTTCATGGGGCTTCGATTGGTTGACGTGACCCACTCCTGTGGGGAAGACCTCGCGGTTCCACTACTTAGTGAATGCAGCCGTGAATTATGATAGCGAAGAAGCTTTCCAGTAGTTACCAGGTGATAGCTTTGTCGCACTAGTACCATCTGCAGCGCGACTGCTTGGGTGAGCACACTTATTTGTCGCTGTGAGATCATGCTGAAGGAGAGGTTGAAGACAGGTCTGTCGACAGTCTGGTTGCTTCCCGTTCGTGTAGTCTTTGTGCAGCGATCTCTCACTTGAGTTGTTAGCAACCGGTCTCGATGTCCTTTTGCGCCTAGCTCGAGGGTATTCTAGCCTGAGTCATTTCGAAGTAGAGTTGTGAGTGTCTCCATGTCGCCCGTAGACTCCAGAGGCAGTATTTGGACAGATTTGCGGTCGATAGAGATGAGGCAGGCTAGTGTAGGGACCAGTGGTCCTGTCACTGCGAAGTTGCTGCATCTGCAATTACCACTTGCCGGATTAAGACCGGGAACGGTCGTGGTGTCACAGTCCTTGCAACCGGTGTCGCCCAGTTCAGTAATGTTGTTGTTCACAACTCCAGCTTTTGACTATGATTGGCTGGGTAGTGACTATCTGGTGGTATGGTAACCGCTGGCTCTACCAACTCCATTGTCCTACGATCGAGCACTTTTCCCAAGAGATCCACGTGGGACGGGTTATGTCTGGTGTGTGGAACAAGCAGGATGGTTTACTGCGTATGTTGGGGACTGGGAGTTGCTGTCGTGGTTTCAATTAAGGTCAACCTATATTTGCGGTGGGATGCTTGGTGGCAATTATTTTCTTGCACTAAACGATGTGTTGGTACCCGTGATCACTGGGCTACTGGATTTCTACACGACAATTTCATGAATGTGTGTATACCGTATTACGTAGTCCATCTGAACTCATCCCGTATAAAACGTTTGAGTCCAGGCGGGTGTGGAAAGTGTTATGTGCAGCCGTATCCTAGAGCGGTGGCTGCGTTTGAAGGGGGTGGGGTTAGGCATCCTCGCGACGCGGGTTGCTGCATCTAATACGTCCGGATCAGGTGAGAGGCTAGACTCTGAGCACCAGAATGTCATGTATAAGAACTATAACGAGGAGGAATCAGCTGGTTCGTATCGGAATTTCATCAGGATATTCAAACGGGTCAGCGTCATACTTGACTAGTCTGAGCGCTGTATAACGCCAGGCGAGGCAACAGGGATACATGCTTCGCTGGGTCCACAAGAGGGATAGACGAAGAGGCACACACGGCGTCCACGACAACAACGCCATGCTCGAAAAGTCCTGTCCAGCATTCTCTCACAATCGGCGTTGAGTTTTAACGATTGCAATCTCTTTCGAACAGGATTGTCTTGGTCTCTTCCCCTTGTCCTGCAGTGGTTTGAGAGTAAGCAAAGCACTGGCACGTTGTATGTTAAATGACAATTTGCGTACTGAGTTGCATCGCTTAGTTCTTGCTTCCGGAACTGACCATCTGAGAGGGAACAGCCGGAAGGTGTGAAGAACGTGGTCGCAGTGTCTATACTCGAAAGTGGGTTTCTCACACCTAATCGTGATTAGGTCACACTGCTTACCGCGGTAAGTGACACCTGGATCTCCTGATGATAGATACTATCTAGGCGAGACTGGTAATCGCGAGGATTAGTGTAAATCACTTGTCTCGCTGTGCATATTCCTAAAGAGTGGAGGCAGTTGACACTTTGAATGCGTGTGGTGTTTTTAAGCAGTTTTATCAAAAGTTTTGTCATTTGTTGTTGTCGGCTTGAGCGTTTAACAGGGTACTGGGTGTTTGGATGGTTCGGCTCAATGAAATCAATGTTGTGTGAATACGTATGCCTTCACCCAGTTTAGGTACGAGTACTAGATAACGTGTGACTATGTTGGTTGGTGTTGTTTCTTTCTGTTATTCCAGGTTACAGAATAATAATATGAAACGGCGTTCTTAGCTTGGAATGTGTGCCTAGGAGTTTCTGATCTGCTGTGAGCCAGTATTGTGTGGTTAGGATATTGTTATATGAATGTTTGGACTACGCTGATTGTTTGTGAACAAATAATCTAGGCCTATGGATTCAAGATAATCAAATTAGAGAGCAGCTTTTAGTTCTAATGTGGTGATTCAGTTCTTGTTTGTTAGTTTGGTTGATGCCATCTATAGGAATCCGCGGACTTAGATTTTCATGCTTGTTGGCATTCGTCAGCAAGGCGTATCTGCAGCCTTCATGGGACTGATGTCCCACCTGAGATTCGTATCCGCGTCGCCCAGTGCTGTAATCAGGGTCGTTACCACTGAGCTGTTCGGGCCGCATTCCCAATGGAAGTAGAGTTCTGTAGTTGACTGATAATTCTGTAAACTTATGAAGTCATCCCTATCAAGTTACTACTAGAATTTTTGAGCTGCCTGTAGGAAGCTCTAGTCGTGCATTTCAATCTGTATTTTTAACAGGACATCTGTATGATTGTCTATCGATAAGCACACTTAGCTGGATACCATTTTGTCTTGCGATGCAACTGAAAGACGGTCGTTGAATGTTGACGTAGGAAGGCTGATAGTTTTCGAAGCGTTATTTGCATTTAATTGAAATAAGGATGGGTATGACATGTAAGGAGCACACCTAGTCATAAAATACCAGGATTATCTGTTTGGCAATACGACTAGTAGATCTCTTCCAAACAGCAAAATTTGATATGCCATGTCAGTTTACAGAATATAAGTGACCATGTAACGAAACAAATCGCGGAGAAAATACGGGTGAAAGCTGAAGCGTGAGGCAATCAGTCACAGTCTACTAATATGCAACTGTTCTGTAAAAGATCAGATAGAAGTAACACGTTACGTTTTTACCATAAAAGTTTCGTGAGGATTCACGTATGGGATTTCAACAATGGAGAGAAAACTTGTTTTAGCATCTAGTTAGTTCTCATAGATACTCTTAAGCAGTGCTCGGTACAACATGAAGAACCAACCTAAGTGTAAGTGCACAACTGGAAACAACTCAACCTTTTGAGCAGACATTTGTTCTCCACTTCAGTTACTGATATACCATAATATCATCCGCAAAACAATTGCGACTCAAATGGCTCAGCACTGTCGAAAGAGGGATGTTACAATTGAAGTAGTTCGTAGGAGTATAAGAAAGCAAGTATGGGCAAGAATCGTTAAATCGGATATTAAGTGTAGTCATTCTTGGTGTTTACCGTGAAATATATGCTCGTCGTTTCCAGAATTATAATTTTCACTGAGTAACTGATCTCATACGTGTAAATCGCCTATCTGAACATTTGTTTGTTACTATATTGCATGTTGAGCTCACTGTCTACTTTTTCCATCTGGATGAGAACTGTCCACAGTTATGTCCTTTTTAAATGCCAACCATTTGTGAGCTAGAAGATATAGAAATAGTAATAGAGCCTAATCCCAGTCGATAGGTGGATATGGAGTGAATTTGAAAACCGTCACCGTTTCTTTGAGAGCACGTGTTAAGTGGGTACAGGACAGTTTGAACAACCAAGCTTTGGCTTCGATGAACTCAGAAGAATCAGTTGACAAACTTCAGCAAGCTCAGCCTGACAGAGAACGTATTTAGTATAGAACTAGGTAATCTGAGAAGGGCAGTGTGAACAGATTTCGCCATGTCGTATACCGTTGCATCCTATCTAGCTGCTTACAGACTGATAATATGGTAATGAAATGAATTCAAGAAAACGTCAACTTGTCATAACTAACAGATCAAAATGTCAAGGTGGTTATGGGTCAACTACTAAGTCTGAACCTGGATATCGGACTTCACGTTTTCAATCCAGATAACCTCTGTGAACTGAAGAGAGACGTCAAGTTAAATATCTTTCCTTTGGTTATAGCTGGTGGTCTTCGGCTTTTACTCAAGTTGATCTCATTGCTACCACCTGATAACCAACTTGTGACTAATTATTTAAATTTCTTTTATTAAAGTACTAACTTCACACAACCGAATTTTAACTGTTTTATTCCGAACTTCCACTTCAGGCTTGCCTGATACCTTCCAATGAATTTTGGATGTATAGTATACTGATCTTAGTCCGTTTCTCCAATTTACTACTAATTAGCCTGTAAGAACTAAAGAGAATGCAACGAGGTACAATTTGTACTTCAGAATTTTTCTCTATTACCCTGTTCGAATTCGTAAAGGTAAATAGTTTTTCTGTCGACTAGGTAATCTGTTAATTGGAGGAGACTGCTTATATCTAGTTTGCCATAAGGTCAGAAATTGTTTCAGACGGGGTAGTTAATCTCTAATGGATGGATGGATACGTATTCTGACTAACTAAAAAGCCAAATGCAAAATAAGCTTCAATTTAGATTGAAAAGCTGGAAAAGTGCGACGACTGCAGGTGGAGTAGATGTTCAGGTTTATCAACAAAACTGACACGATGAGTTGAGACTCATCGGAAAGGTGGATCCAACCACAAATGAAAAGATAACCAAAAATCTTGAAGTCTTCGACTACTCTTTAGCTGCTTACCATTTACTTGGAGTCCGACCGGAAAAAAATTGCAGCAAAAGATTTAAAACTGACTGGTGCGGTCCTACTGGGGTACTTAAAGTAGTGACCATAAGTTAGTTAACCTGGGTGAGGTTTTTACGCACAATACTTTTGACCATTCTCTTTTATTTTAGTCTACAAATAAGGCCGATTTAGTTCGGTAAATACAGTTTGACTTATTCGACAGATAATTTCTCCGATCTAAAGGTCGCTGGTGATGTGATATCTAACTTGGTTTCATATCTAATCACTCTGACCTAAACTTCGTCTTCCTCTGAATTCCAGGAGAGAAATATCTACTGCAGTTTGTAGCTATTGCCTGCTGTTGGATGCGGAGCTTGACCCTATCGGTTTGAGGCGTTCGCTTTAGTGTCTCCATCTAGAATGTGTAGAAAATGGCACCTTTAGAGGATACGAAGATTTAACCTAGCCCTTGTGAAATTGTTCTATTTATAGCATTGAAATATCCGAAAGCCAGTTGAAAATCTTAGGTACTGCAATTAATTTCACCTTGTCCATCTATATTGTTATGAAAATTGCCAGTAATAGTGAAAGATGTATCAAGTCCATAGATAATGAAGACCGTTTCCATCGTAAAATCATTTGAATGTAGTGAGACAGTATCGAACTTCTCTCCTGCTTCAAATCAGTTGTAACTAAACACGAATAGTTTACTTGATTTCGGCTTGAACTTAACAAGCGGAAATCTAGACATCACGCAGTTGTAATATGTAAGCTACCTAGATGGAACAAGGTGGAAGGAGCTGGTTTGGTACTTCCTATGCTGTTTGCCTATGCGCTTACTGAATATATTGTTTCTCTGATGCAGGATCTGAGGTTAACACCATAGCAGATGAACTTGTTAGAGGCTATTAGACTGCATGTACAACTGTAGTGGTCACCAAAAAGGGGAGATCCTATCTATTGCTGGTCTGATCACGGACTGATTTACATGATAGCTGTATTCAACTAGCAGATTCTTTGAAGTGATGCATAAGCTAGTTTCTAGACATCTGTTAATATGAAATTCAACTTTAAATGATGTATATGAATCCACCTCGGTAGCACAAAAGCATTAACGCATTATTTTAATCTTAATTGTCATAGTAGGTGAAAGCAGCGCACAACTTAGTACAAAAGTGCATCGGTTCACGTTTTTGCACTTAACAGGAGCATAAAAGACAAGGTTGGATAGAAAAATGATATTTAGGTAAGTCAAAGTGTGCGGACCAAATTGCAATGCTACGCATCATCATAGAATAGAGTATAGAATGGCAGTCAACTCACTCTACCCCAACTTCATCGATTTTGAAAAGGCCTTCGACAGCGTCGACCGACAAGTAATTTGGCAGCTGCTTCAATACTGCGGTTTTAGTGACGGAAACCTTTGTCAACCCCATTCAACAGCGACATGAAGACCCCACGTGCCAAATGATTGCCACTGGAAAGCTCAGTGATGCCTTTGAAGTGAAGACAGGAGTAAGATAAGGCTGCCGCCCACTATCACCGATGATCTTCCTGATTGGTGTAGACTGGATCATGCAGCAAACCGCGGGAAGCGAGAAGACGGGGATACACTGGTTCTATGGAAAGGCCTTAGAATATTTGGATTTCGCCAAAGATGATGATTTATGTCTAATGTCACACAAGCTCGAAGATCTACAGGCAATAACCAACAAGTTGACAGAAGAGGCAAGGCAGCGAAGACAGAACTTCAAGTGAACGTAGAGAAGACAGAAGTGATGAAGATACCCAACCAACAACAACAAGAGGCACCAATCACCATCAACGAGAGAAACCTAAAGAAAGTAGTCTCTTTCACCTATCTACCTAGGCAGCATCGTTTCAACCACAAGTGGCACAAATGAGGACGTCGAAGCCAGGATCGGAAAAGCAAGACAGATCTTCATCAATCTGAAACCAGTGAGGAGATCTACTGCACTGAGCACATAGAACAAGATCCGGATTTTCCACACCAATGTCAAGTCAGTGCTTCTATATGGTTCAGAAACTTGGCGCGTTACGAAAAGCATTTCCAACAAACTACAGAGATTCATCAAGAACTGCCTACGCTCGATACTGAAGATCAGATCAGATGGTCAGAAAGAATAAGCAACAAGGAACTCTGGTCTGGCAAAGGACCAACCAAAAACCTATCACCCAACAAATATAAACTGGAAGGAAGTGGAGATGGATTGGACTGGTCATACACTGAGAAAACCATTCGGAGACATCACTCGCCAGGCACTCGAGTGGAATCCAATGGCGAAACGAGGAGTTGGGCGTCCCAGCTGAGGGTGACATGGAAGAGATCATGTGAGGAAGAAGTGAAAGCTTGTGGGCAGCGGTGGAGTTAGGTTCAAAAGACTGCAGAGAACAGAGTGGGATGGAGACGTGCTACTGAAGCCTTATGTTCGACTAGGAACCCAAGGGACAAATAATAAAGTGTGCAGGGGTAGAAAAAAATTAAAAAAAATATAATATATGGTGAAAATGTTCAGTCTTCCGAAGATTTCAACGAGTAGATACACCGGAACCATCGCAACCGGTTTTCAGCTGCTTAGATGAGCTGGTCGAAAGACTATGAGATCATAGTTTATATACTGATTGGTAAGTACTTCAGAGAGGGAACCCAAAAAAGGATCTGCAAAGATTCAACGATGCATAAGTGTGCAGTGATACTTAGGTGCTAACTCCTAAAGAGAAAGAAACATATCGTGAGTTCTACTACTGATCACTATCAAAAACAATCTGAGTATATCCAAGCGTGATACCTAAAGCTATGTGTAAAACATTCAAATGTTATAAACAAACCAGTTGATTGAATTTCTTCAATGGATTATGAGGAGCTTCACTTCTGATAACAAATACATATGGAGATAGATTGACGAATCAACGTAGAAGCTTGCACTGATCATCAGTTCAAGTTGCCAAACTCCACAGGGGGAGGGAAAAGAAGTTTGTAGAGAAAGGAATATTTAGGTAGACATTTGTCAGAGGCAGAATATATAATAGATGAAGGTTCACAAAATGTTCAAAACTTGACTACTGCAAAAAGTGAGTAGATTTGCATAGTAGTAACCGGTTTTCTACCATTTCACAAAGTCTCCAATCATTGAATTGTATTACCTCTAGGGCCGTAGCAAGGCCGTCAATACTTTCTTGTACAGTTGAGATCAGCAGTCGGGGACTTCGTGGGTTGATGCTACATCTTGTTATAGACGCCCGGAGGTTTCTAACCACCCATTCCTACCTCAGCTAATATTTCACGTCGAGGTACGTGTCGGTTTGGCATGTCCACATGTGCCCAAGCCATTTCAGACGGTGAAGGTTCACAACTTCACCAACCGACGTGCTCAGTACCCTATACCTACCCTCAACATTGCTCTCATGGTAACTACGCCGCACTTTAACAAAGAAGGATGTATTCGGTTGACTTTTATCTCATCACATTACCTTTTCCAGTGGCCATATCCAACAAGTGTCATAACACCTTGTCGGTTATCTCACAGACACTAGAAATGACGTACGTGGGCAAATGCCAAACAAGCCGTTGGAATCGGATCTGAGGTTTCACCAGCTCGCAACCCATATGGGCTGGTGCGAATTCCCGGGTAAGTGAAGTGGTGAACCATTTCATCTTGTCTTTAAACTGGGAGATAGTGCAGACCATTTCTGAAGCATCATCTTACAGGTGCAGCGAAACACATGCTAAGATACTTTGATTTCTGCTTAAGGCATTCAGAAAACTGAATTGAGTCAGGGTTCCTCACTTAACAGGTGCATGTCGTCTGTGTGGTGCAAAAAAAGTCAATCTATGTGAGGCCTACGTTTTTCAAAGTTAGGTTTATTAGAATGTCTGTAACACAGAAATGGTGGCAATGTGCTTCCCTAGTGGATATCTGGTTGTCCTCATCTTAGATGAAATTCCTAACAAACCCTCAAATATCTGGGTTCGAGTAAAGCACTGGTTAGCATAGCCCACTTGTCTTGTAATCCTTTCTCAGGTAAACAGTGCCAAAATATTCTTCGGTTTCCAGTCTGACGGCGATTTGATGTAAAGAAATACTGCCAGCACCGGTGAGTATCTCTGTTTCAGAACTTGTCAAGAGGTGAAGATGTGGTCGATGCAGCCTTGTCATATTCTGAAATCTGTCTGGTTTTCTCTGATGTCAGTTAGTTACTGACCCTAGGGTCTTGAATATGATGTTAGTTAGGCTAATCCTGTTCTGGTTATCATAAAATTGCAGTCTCTTGTTAGGAGCTAGACCGATCAGCTATCTGGAGCAGTTTGGTGTTTTTCACGCCTTAGCTAGTACCTTCATTACCCTACTTATCCTTTTTATTCTTCCATCCTTAAAAACTAGTGGCGTAGTGCCAATTTTCGCTGCTTTGCTTCATTTCAGGTTTGAAACAGCCTTCTCAACTTCGAGAAGACAAGAGTAACCTACACCAAAGTCCCACTCAGGTTTTGGATGGATACTGAGCGATTAAAGCGTCGTGTAGACCACCTGAACTGGTCTTCTGTGTTCCACCCAACCATATTTCGTTACAGGTTATGATGGACCCATCTTTTTCAAAGATAGTTTCCCTAACCATCATCTTCTTACCAGTATTCTTAGTAAACCTAGGCAGTTGTTTGATATTAACTAATGCTTTCTTCATTTCCTTCGCCACCCACCACTGCAAGCCATCATTGAGAAAACTCGTAATCAATTTGTCTAGGTTGCTTTAGCTCTTCATTGTGGTCATCGCCAACCAGAATGAGTCTTTTCACACCAAACAGTTCCGATGAGGTTGCAGAAATCCAAAAACTTTTGTTAACCTGTGAATACAAGAAGTCACGGACTGTCCTTACTACTGTTTCTACAGCTCACGGAATACTACACTAGGTTTAATAAGGAAGAGGACTGTTACCATGTTCAGATAAGTGCCTGGTCATCTCGTTCCTAAATATACAATTAACGCTGTCATCTTGCAGTTGAGCACACATATACTTCACTGCCATTTAATTCCTGGGACCAGCTAAATGCAAACATACGCCTGCCTGCAACAACGCGTTATCTGAATTTAAGCAAGTACGCTACGAAGGACAGTTGTCTCTAACGATGGATTTTAGTAAAATGTTCTCTTCGTGTCCTCCGTTGGTCTGATACCAAATGCCCATCCTTATGCTCAAAGTTGGGGCTAGTCAGACGACTGGTTTTTAAAACAAAGTTGTGAGAGATGATAGCCGTTGTCATTGAATACGATGGATATCTCCAAGATGCCTTTCTGACCGGCTCCGCTTCCCTACTTGAGCGTCAAAGTCTCCCGCTACCATTATGATATCTTAACGTGTGGCGAAATATGATAGTTCTTGATAGGATTCAATATTTTCATGACCTGAACTGCTGTCGTTTGAGGCGCAGACTGGGGTTACAAATGGGTTCTTAAGAGCCATACCGGACTTCCTGTTTTTGTTCTTCCTTGTTTTTTTCCGGCTTCCTACCTTATTTTTTCCGCTCTGTGCCTACTACCTCGATATGGTGTGGCAACTTGGATCATTACGTAGTAATGCCACATCGCACATCACTATTTACATGGTGATCTACTGTACGTTGATGCTGAATGACTGACAACTTTGTCATTATCAACATAAGACTAGACACTACTAAATAACTGTCTAAGTTGTCACACCTCATTTCGGCACATCACACGCAAAAGCACCACGATGAACGACAAAGAAAAATCAATCAAGAGCAGCAGAAAGTAGTAAACGAAAGGAATAAGAAAATGCTGAATTCAGTATAGCAGCTGAGATAAAGATGCGCCTGCATTAAATGACATCAGTTCTGCATAATATCACCGACAGCCTCTAACCACTGGTTCCCGTTGTCATATAGACCGCAACCGGCTAGTCTGCATCGCCTCATATGGCCCAAGCCAACAGTCAAAGACTTCATACATTGCTGCCATGTTTTAGTCTGGTCACCCTGAGCCTATTTCCAGCCTGAACCTACTGCTAACATTGGGTAGCGAGGTAGACGGTAACTAGGCCTACGTAACACATGTCCCAGCCATCTCAGTCGATGAAGGTTCACGATTTTATCAGCTGACTTTCATCTCTCCCTGAAACGCTACACCTGACTTCTGCATTACTGATGTGGTAACACCAGGACACGGTATATGTTGGGAAGGCGACGGTGGTTGCATATCATAAGCCTCTGCAGGTCCGTTACCTTTAGTGGCCATGTTTCAGTCATGAAGTGTGACAGAGCGAACTGCAGCTCAGCACACTAGACCCTTAATAGACAATCAGATATAGAGCGGTGGCATAAATGGCATGAACTAGAGAAAGTCAATCGAGCCTTTGTATATGTTTAGAGATCTTATCGGCCGCTGACACGCTAGAAACGATTCGACTACCTGCGTAAGTGAAGTGTTCAGTGCGCTCACCCACTTCAATCTCCACTACTAGTCGAGGTACTGTTGCAGAACAATCATGGAGCAACACTTTCCACCTAAGTGGCAAGAAACATCCCAAAAATTATCAAATAGCTACTCAAGATGTCGAGAGGACTCAGGATCTCCACATAAAAGGGACTGTCATCTGTGCACTCTAGCTCTACCATGGATTCAGTGGTCAGATCAATCCGTGTGGTCAGATGACGAGAGGGAGACCTCTATACAACAGCCTTCAGAAAATCATTCTCACGCTAAATTATGTCTAGTCTTCTACAGCCTAGCGATTCTATATGCAAGAGATAAAGACAAACTGCTTGATTCTGCCACTTCCATCTGCACTCATCAATTCATTTGCTCCTATGGAGCTAGTCACGTTAGGCGTACAATGACGCAATTCCATCGTCAAATTTCTGAGCACCACCCATATTAGTTGAGCAAGGGACAAATTAGAACAATAAAGAGCTTCATAGTTGCACACCTAGTCGACACGGGACATCAAGTGGACACTAGAAAAGCTTTCAAAATCATTTATTAAATCCCAATTAATTTGCCACATGGATTACGTACTCGCTTACTTCACATAGCAGAGGCGATTACAATCCACCTTTACAAACCTAGCGTTTATATTTAAAAGAAGTTTGTTCGGTCACTTTCATTACCGCGGCCGTCAACATGACGTAACTGTCAGTATTACTTAGTACACCTCTCCCCCCTCTTGTTTCTATCAATATTCACCTGCTTTCTCATTCTTACATAATTAGTCATTGTTTATGACTGGACACGCGCCAAAAAGCACTCCACTTACTTTACCAGTTACTATGCAACCTACCTAAGAATAACCTGCGTCATAGTAATAATATTAATTACTCTACTGGTTATTTTCATCTTAATTTCTAAGACTTATCATCTTCATGAATTACTTAAAATCTATAATTATTGTTCACCACCAATTTTTTAAACACTAATTAGTTGGTATTTTGATCGAATTGTAGTGTAGCGCCCAAGACGAAGACCTAATTGGGAAATATTTCTTCACCCAATCAATTTGTCAGTTTCAGCTTCTTGAAAGTAACTGAAGTATGGTGTTACAAGATGGAGTACGAAGTTTACTTATATGTATCGTGCATGGGTTAACAAACTTCGCGTACCCTACCGTAATTTATCACGCAGACAGCATATATTTGAAGAGGATTAACATACGATAACAGTATGGGAAGTATCTACACAAATGTGACCATACGTTTTGGACAAGTACATACTACCACAAACCAGTTCAAAACACGTGCCCTTAGTTATATTCAGCAACTATCTAAGAGTAGTGATGTGACAGCAACGACTCACTGACATTTAGTTCACTACTTCAAGGCCGTGATCGATATGCAAAACTTCTGGGGAGACTATTGATACGCTCATAAATTTATGCATGGCTATGGTCCAACAAAATGTGAGCCATGTATACAGCAGTAAGCCGCTGCATGAGATTAGATAAGAAAATGACCATAGGTTCGTTCAGTTGAACAGTAAAGTGAAAAATAAGACAAATAACTTCGATATTTAGCTACAGTATGAAAACCTCTGAAGACAGTTTTTGCATGACATATCTTTTTTCTCCATCAGACCACATCTCAAAAAGATAACAAAGATAA